GGGCAGACTCTTGAGTCCCGCCCACCCCGAGAGGAGGTGGCGGGAGGCCACGCCCCGGGGGTCTGCGCTACCAATCGTTCATCCCCCTCCCGCTGTCCTCTTACTCCCGGCCGCCGGGCAACTGCCGGGACCCGCAGCCTAAAGGGACGACAAGTTCCCCCTTGTAGCCGAGTCCCATACTCAGCTCTGGCTCGAGTTCGAACTGAAAGATACGAAGACTCGGCCCCGCGCCCCAACAAAGTAGAATACCGCTACTGCTGCAAACCCCAAGGAATTGAAGCCTCCCAGCCAATATGAGTCCCTGGATCCCCCCACACTCACGATCGGCCGGCCCTCGGGAGCACCGGGGCCCCGGACGCCGGGCCTCTGGGGCTCAGCCCAAGGTCCCAAGGGCTGCCATGGACAGGGCCTGGGCCAAATGCAGCGTTGGCAGGAAGGGGAGGGGGGCGACCGGAGACTGAGCCACGTGACCCTCCAGCTGTGCGCGCCCGGACATCTGGAACTCAGCTCCGCCCCAGCGCCAGGAGTGCGGTCTCCGAGTGGGAACTAATCCATGAGAGGGATCCTCCTTAAGGTGGGCACTTTGCCCTGGGAAGGCCTGCCCTGCGTGCTGGCCTGGTCTCCGCAAATCCACCTTTGGGGAGTGGGCAGTGGGAGGAAGTGGCAACTTCTTTGGTTAGCCCCTACCTCCTCTCCCTCTCTTCCGGAATGAGGCGGGGCCAGGACTGCCAGGATCCCCCAAGCAGGCCAGTTCCAGATCCCTGGAGCCAGTCTCAGGCATCGACCTGGCACCACCGCTGCCTGTCAGCAGCGCCTCTCAGCCGCCCAGGTTCCACCAGACAGGGTCCATAAAGTACCCCTGGAACCTGTGGCTGCCCCGTTACAACTGGCTCTGGCAACCCCCACCTCCCCACACACAGAAAACACACATGCGTAGACAAGATGGTCCATCCAATTCTGACAGCCCTGCCAGCAGCTCTCATTGCTCATGTTCCGCTGGGACACACTCCTCAGGGACTAAGCGCCTTGCTCAGGATAACATAGGCAGAGTACTGCCCCCCAGGCCTTCCCGAATTCAGTCCAGAATTCTGTCCTCTGTCCTTGTGTTTCTCATCCATCCGTCCACTGGGATATGGAGCCAGCCTAGCTTTATCTGTTTTAACTTCACAGGCAGGCACTCTGCCCTCTCCTCAGAGGCTAATGGGCCGTTTCCAGGCCCAGGTCCAGTTCTGAGTCCCTTGATCCCCAGCCTATCCTGCAGGTAGAAATGAACATATCTGCGCTGCCGCTGCTGCTATCCAGGGGGCGCTGGTGGGCACTGCCACAGCCTGGATAGACTCCTGGAGTAGCAGGCCAGTGAGCACAGAGGTGCTCTGGAGATTGAGGGCCCAATCTTGCCTAGCTCTGCTGCCAGCTCCCCCTCAAACTCATGCTCTGCAGGGTAGAGCCATGTGGTAGAGCCCAGAGTAAAGGACACTCCCAGCCCTCCAACCTGAGAAGGAGCTCCTGGAACCAGAGCTACCCAGTACCCTGCTCTTTCTAGGAGCTGTCTGCTCCTTCTGATGACTTCTCACAACATTCTCCTGTTCTCCCTGTTTTGGTTTTTGGTATTGCTATGAAGCTCATGGGCTCACCAGAGAGAGGAACTGTGAGAAAGCACCCTCCGGAGGGATGGCTACTCCAAAATCTCCTCCACTCTCCTCTTGGGATTTTGGCACACATGTGCCTGATATGCCTTTCAAGGTGCCGGTACAGGACTCAAACTGCATACTTGGCCATGTGGGATCTAGTCATCTTAACTACCAGGACACGCACTAGCCTACATTCTCTCTTTTTAAAAAAGCAAATCCAGGGCCAGCAGGCGGCATGGTGATTAAGGTACTGGATTCCCCACATGGTGGACTGTGATTAGAGTCCTGGACCAGACAGCTTGACGATCACAACAAATACATAAAATAATTAATATTGGGACCAGCATAAGTAAGAATCTTCTACTCTGGCCTCCTTTACTGCCTCACCTCCCGCTGCCTCCTGACTATATTTCATAATGAGCCCTATCTAGCAACCTCCTTTTCACTGACGCCAGTGGACACTTCATCTTGACTGGTCCGCAGCCTCCATTATAGCATGCGGTATTTCTCCTGCCTTTTTTTCTTTTTTTAAGAGAGAGAGGTTTTTCCTATAGAGTATGTGTACTCACCGGAGAGACAAAGCAAGAAATCACCCCCCTAGAGGGGATGGCTATGCTGCAATCCCTTCTTCAATCACCTCTAGGAATTCTGGTATGCACACACACACATCCAGTATGAGTTTTAAGCCGCCGGGTCCAGGACTCGAACTGTGGTTGACTACATGGGAGCCCAGTGATGTAACCATTATGCCATCTGCTGGTCTTGGTATCCCCTTGCCTTCTAAACCTTCTGGTTTTCCTCCTCCTTTGAGCTGGTCTTTTTCTAGCCAGGGTCCTTTGGGAACTCTCCTGGGCCATTCCACCCACCCAGCCACACCTATACATTCATGAGTCTTTGGACTTGACTCTTCTGAGCTCAGACTGTATCCATCCAGCTGTCCTCAGACTCCTTCCCTGCATGTTCTGCAGGAACTTCATTCCAAACTTATCCAAACAGAGTAAGCATTTAACCTCCCCAGCACCCCTATCCCAGCAGGCAGCCCCACCAATTGGCAAAGGTGGAAACTCAAGAGTCTTCTCTCATCCCATGCCTCATTCAAGATCACCATGCCTGTTATTCTCCCTTTTAGCCAGTTCCTGATGTTCACCCTCTTCCCTCTATCTCTGCTGGAATTGCCCAGTCTGGGTCACCACCTCCTCCCTCTCTCTCTCCCCTGTCCTCACCAACCTCCCAGTCTTAACTCCCCAAATCCTTCAAAGGCTGCTCACTGGTCTCCTTATAAATTCTAACTTCAAAAAGTAGCTTACCAGACCTGTTGGTACCTACCTCCCCCACTCACCAACTGGTCTTTTAGCAAACCCATCCACCCCCAGATCCAGCCATTCTGAGCTTTGAGTTTTTCTTTTTTCTTCAGTTGGCTCCCCAGAGACAAAAGAAGGGGGAAAGTGAAAAAGCATCCCCCAGGGGTATAGCCATGCCACGACCCCTTCTCCTCCATTCTTGTCTCAGGATGTTGGGCACGTATGCACATATGCCCAGCATGTTTTCCAGTCTACTGGGTCAGGACTCAAACAGCACAGCTAGCTCTGTGGGAAACAGCCATCTTAACCACCACACCACTGGCTGGCCCCAACTTTTGAGCTTTCTTTCATTCTTTTTTTTGAGAGAGAGTTGCTATACGGTATGCTCACTTACTGGAGAGACAGAGACAGAAAGCAAGAAAACTCCAAGGGGAATAGCTATGTTACAATCCCTTCTCCATTCTCCTTTCAGGATTTTGGGCACACAAGCACACACACCTAGCATGAGTTTCACCCACCAGGTCCAAGACTTGAACTGTGGTCGACTACATAGGAGTCCAGCAACATAATTGCTATGTCATCAGCTGGTCCCCAACTTTGAGTTTTTTAACCTGCCCCCTCGCCTTCCTCAAGGTCTCACCTGAGGCTAGCTGTGCTCAGACTGCCCTGCTCTCCATTTCCCACCCTACCCCTGCTCACACTCATCTCTTCCAGGAAGCCAAACCCTCCCTCAATGCTTCTCCAACTTTGTATTTCTCACATCAAAAGAAGGGTTGGAATTTATTACCGTGGCTTAAGATTTAGGGTCCCATACTGAGTGTGAGCTGGGAGTGGGCAGGATGTGTGTCTTTTCACCACAGTGTTTGCAGCTCCCAGGATGATGCCTAGGGCACCGAGGGTCCCAGCGGTTAATGAGTAATTGTTCAGTAGTGAAGAAGTAAGGCAGCCTGCTGGCAGCCCTCTGGGGTGGAAGAGAGTGAGGTTGACTTCCACAGCAGGTCACCCACATATTCTGTCTCTATAAAATTTGGGGGGCGGAATCCCCAATAGTGCACTCCCAGCGGGCTTGGCAGGTGCTTGTCTGGCTCTGCCCCAGCAGCTCCAGCAGCTCCGGCACAAAAGCTAAGTGGGGTAGAAGATGTGGTCTCAGAGTCTTGTGGATACATAAGGGTCAGCAGTAGCAGCAGATGCAACCCTAGGATCATCCCAGTGCTCCGATCCCTGGATAGGCACCTGGCAAACCACTCCTTCCTCAGGACCCTCCTAGGCCAGGCCACCATCAGGATCTGTCAGGCCCAACAAGTCCTCGGCCAGACTGGTGAGCTCATTCTCCTCAAGCGCTTCCACCAGGCGTTGTAACGTGGCACGGCGGCCCTCGGCCTGTACAAAGCGCTGCAGCAGCTGGAAGGCCTGTTCGTATAGCCCATCGCGCTCGTATTCATAGGCCAGGGTGTCTAGCACTGGTTCCCGCAGCGCCCGACAGCTGCGCTGCAGCGAGCGCCCCACCTTGCGCCATTTGAGGCCGACTAAACGCGCGAAGGTCTGTTGGTCCTGCAGGCTCAGCGGGCGGTTCACTGCGGGG